GATGCTTAAATCCATACAGTGTGATTTGGTCATTAAGCAAATCACCAAGTCCCCAGAGCAATGTTAAAGGATTCTTTTAACCGACTAATGCCCTGCACACTGGATGCTTTAGCGAACACACAAGCTAACGTAAGATACGACTATCTGCTCAAGCGATCATAGAACATATATAAGATTTACAAATTAGCATATATCGTGTCGAAAGGATCAAATCAGCATGGTTTCTGAGGCTAGCATAAAACACTGATACTCCTTCAAGCGTTCATTGTAAGATTTCACAGCGGACACCAGAACGACCTACGTATGACGTCAATGATAAATTTCCCAAAACTATGGTAATATAAACTTTGGTCCAGGTTAGCAGTTTTTGGCATACTTCTTGTATATAAAAGATTCAAGAAAATTGCAGCCTCTGTTCAGACAACCTCAAATCGAGAGTACTACAACAGTAGCAGAGATTAACGCTCGTCTGGTTCCACAAGTTCATTCTACGATGCACGTGATTTTCGTTATCGCATTCCAATCGACAAGACGAAGAATTTACGGACAACTGAACCCCAGCGCACTTCAGCCACTATCTTGTTCGTATCAAACGTTCTAAGTGATTCTAATACGTGGACTGGGAGCGAAAAAGGTAATCTGAGGTAGAAAAATGAGCGAATGTGTACAAATACAATGCAGAACAAAATGAAGCATCTGAAAAACGACCCACTTACGACATTCTCTTTTCGCTGCGGTGAGGATGTGTGACTTCTCGATGTCGTATCGGTATTCCCGTCTAGTTTGATATCGGTGAAAGAGAAAGAAGATAACTGTAGTCTCTTCACAATATCTACTAAACATTGAGTTTCATAAACAAAACAACCGCAACTGCATTGCAATGCAGTTGCGGTTGTTTNCGTGATACCTGCACCCCCTTCGATTCGGTCCCTTTAAGAAGAATCCAAGGAAGGGCCAAAATGGTTTACATGAAAACGATTATAAAGAAAAGAAAATCTGAGAATTATCATTCCTCGCTCACCGGGTGTGGGTTTTAACCGTTTCTCGGATAAAGAAGATTTTAGAATTCCCGCCTTTTTAGAGTTGCTTTGTTCGGCAGCTAGCATCTGTCGAATCAGATCTTGAGTAACCGGTTTACTCAAGTCATTCTGCAACGACAAAATAATGTCCGGTGACTGCATGATCATATAAGCACAGAAGAATTGTGAAGATTATTAAGAAACATGCAAGCGAGCACATAACCGATAGTTAGTTATTCCGTAAAATCAGCGCGCAAGTACAGAAGCGATACCGAGCGAAATATTTGTCAAATATACAAGAGTTGGTAGGAGACCAATCTACATTCATCTTAAGGAAAACACGTGAAAATGCCAAATGTCTACCTATGCTTTTTTATAAAATGAGTGCGGTTCATGTATTGGCATGAATCCTCTTTTAACTCACTGTGGCAAACCGATGAAAAACGCCCGACGAAAACCAGGATCAATCGTGTAAATGAGAGTTGAATATGCCAAAACGTTACTCAGCCGCAATGATTGCCAAACCACTAACTAACCCGTGTTCTCAACCAACTCCGTACGTACCCAATTACAATCTGTCAAACCCGTGTAATGAACCAACTGAAAAAATCCCCGGATGGGGGGGTGGGAAAAGTTTTTCTCCAGAATTATATAAAGTCCGAACTGCATTAGTAATCGGTTTATCTCTTTCACTGCTCTGCGCAATTTTGGATATGAAACTGATCCCATATTACTGGAAAACCTCGGCTTTGCTACTATCACACAAAAGGGGAACAAATCACTACGTAGGATAATATAATCAACATATAACCAGTTATTTCGAAGTTATGAAAAGAGCAGTAGCCTCCGTGGGATTCGAACCCACACGTCGAAGCAACCTACGCTTTTGTACGGCCTCAGAAGTCCGTTCGGTGGACTCCGACGACCACTAAGGAAAAACTGCTGTGGCAGTCAGCTTAGGCTGTGAAGCGATTCAGTTGTGTAAATATTCTACGGGGACAAGAGAAGCATGGCTTGTAAGTAATTCCCGTAATAAAACTTTGACATGAACTTTGGTGGATTCCATATGCCTCCGTAAGTTGGATGAGTGATTCAAATGTGAAAAGACCATTGCTATCGGTATAACCTCGTAGCTCAGCTGGTACAACGTGCACTGTACAAAAGCGTAGGCGGCGTCCACGCGTGGGCTCGAATCCCACCGAGGCTACTGAACTTTTCACAATCTCAACGTAAGACTTCAAGTTGGAAAACAACAATCTGAGCATACTTGGAAAAGTTATACACAATACAATACAATATATCCAAATGCTTGGGAATGGGTGAGTGGTGCGATACATGTGTTATTCAACCTTTGATTATCCAGGCGTCAGCCTAACCGAAAGCGGTATCAAAATTTTTGTGTTAAACCAAATGATGCGTTTTGCCGACGAAAGCCACAACTGCACCATATAAACCTAAGTCGGTATCCACTTTGATGGTCGCTGCATTGATTAAATCATCACGCAGTCAGAATTCCAACCGCTGATGACTGCCCGTTTTATCTACAGTCGAGTGGCATTCCACTCGGTTGAGTGGAAAGCATTTTGATAGTTGATTTGGAATCATTGAAACTCCGCTCGAACTAACCTAACTGTTCGAATCTAACTACTACAATACAAAAGCTTGATTCAGAGCAAACGGTGAGAAATCGCTCTCTTCCGATCAGTGGTGGCCGTCAAAGTTGTCCAACCACCTCGTTCTGTTCCAATTCACAGTTGGTTTGCCTTCACAGAAGCCTTTGCCGAGAACAACAGCTATCCAAGGTATACGAGAGATCCACATAACCTCGATGAGCAACTAACCGGTGACACTTTGAACCCACAGCACGCGCTTGATCGTGTAAATTAACTGTGTACACCGCCCGTTCAGGAACAACAAGGACGAAACGGAGACGTCATCGACCGCACCGTCGAGCACATCGCATTACTGAACGGCGAAACCATTGAAAGCTCACGAAGAATGGTCACCCCTCTGAGCAAACACGGTGTCCCGAGCCAAAAAAATTTTACCATTAAACTTCTCCATTTTGTACGAAAATTACCACTGGAGGACATTCTCAACAATGATGACTATGAAGCGTTCAGACAGTCCAACTATTGACCATCCAATGAATTGACATCGAAATCTTACTCAGCAATACCATCATTTATTTTTCTCTGACGGATCTACAAACGTGCATAGACGTTGAAGAAGAGGTAATCTCATAAAGTAACAACAATGACGAAGAGAAAGCTCTGTGCGAAAAACGTTACGGTCAGGAACACGATGCAGGCTGCATGCCTATTGTGAACATTCGAACTTGAATCATGCATGGATTTTATACCCGAAACCTAATACATCGAGTAGAAAATACCTCCAAAAGTGCTATCATAAGCAAGTCAGTATCAATCCTGAATTGAAGTTCATGTTAAACGTACATAACCGTTAACAAGTTTTCAAGTTTGATGTGACATCATAAAATCACTAATGAACAATCATGCTCCTATTCAGACACGTCCCTCTCATAGGAAAAAAATTGCACAGCTCATTCGGAGCTATTTAAAGTGAGACTTACAACCCAGGTTGTATCTATGCTTACTTGATTTTTTTACAAGACCCAATGTTAACCATAAACGGCAAGTCAGAGTCATCATATCCTTTCAAATCTTGTCAACTTCTTCCTTGCAACACCTCTTAACCGGATAGGAGTCACATTATCAACCGACTGAGTGTGACGTGTGATTTGTATTGTTTACGCGAAAAAAGTTTTGCATGCAACTACAGAACGGCGTGCACTGTACGAAGATCGATGCAAACGCCTAATAAAGAAACAACCAATAAAATCATAACCTCTAACGAGTTTACAATCCTAATGAAGCATGTGACTACTGTCTACATTTTCACGAATTCTGTTTGATTTTAGACTAAAACAGCTAGGTTTAAAATGATTGATCATTGCTGTTTCCCAGTTACTGGAATTGTCCATCTCACTCATAATAATCTTTTTTCTGTTTTTTTTGAAAGACGAATTCAAAACATTACGGTACGATATCTTGGTGATTCGCAACTTTTGAGATCGTGGTCTACAGTGCTTCAAAAAATGGATGCATACGGACGATGAAGATACCGGCACGGATGTTTTACATTTCCATATGATTTCACTCGTTCTCACCAATCAATACCGTTTTGACTTCGACCACGCATAAAGCTTTTCATTTGAGCAATTCTCTAAAATCTCTTGCATTTCACCAATTAAAGATAAGCACAGGAGATGAATCTTCGCAACAATTTGATATTTCAATGTCACAGGTCAGTCCCTCTAAATCTACAGGGACAGTCAGCGGAAAGATTCAACGTATATGCAGGTGCACACACATCAGCTAATGTAATGAAAGATAAAGTGAGATTTGATAATCGGTTACTTTTCCCGATACACGAACAATGATCAACATGAAAAAAATCTAAGAAAAAATGCCTAAGCTGAAAGACCCCAAAGTTACTCTACGGAGGAGAAGAGAAAGAGTAAGAAAGCCAGATAACAGATAGGCCGATGGTCTGAGAACAAGCTTCACGTGAACAACTCTGAATAAGTTTGCCGAAGTGGTTTTTGAAACTCTGTCAGACGCAGAGCAGCATTAGTTATTGATCTGAACAGGCAAAGAGGATAAACAGTAGAGGGGTTAGTAATAGATTTGGATAAAACGCGCACCTAGGTGCATCCTGATTGGATATCCCCGAAACCATCACTGCACGAGATTTGTGCCCAGAATACACAGGTTTAATCGTCTTAATCAATCAGAAGAGCATTCTGTTTGCACGGAAACGCACTATTGGGAACATTATAGGATTTAGTGAATAGGGACAACCAAGTCGAAAATTTCTAACAAAATCAATGAACAAGCATCCTGTTGGATAACCGTTATTAGTACATCGGAAGAATTACATGGTAATAGGTAATAAAAAAAGGTGACCGTGAATAATGCCCTACAAAAACTTCATTTTTATTTGCGTGCATAGATGCACTGTTGTGTCCGGATCTCGTTTGATCACAATATACACACAACAAGATATC